TAAAGGAACTGGAAGAACGATAAATTATACAGTAAAATAATATATTTAACAACTATAAATCCGTTATACAATGCAATTAAACGTATATTTGTTTGCAAAAGTTGTGTTCTGGATTTTTTAATGATTCTGGGTGTTGGGTACCGTCATCTCTGGCCTGAAACTTGTGTTGCACATGGCACCATTCTACTCAAATATTTTGTAATGAAAATGATAAGATTTTTTAAACATCTTTTCCAAGGTGGAAGAAGTCAGTTGATTATTCACTCAGAAGTGAAGACCAAAGGTAGGAAATTATCAGTAAGTTAAAAATACCTTAATGTGTTTGCCCCTGGTCGATATTGCATATCTATTGTTTCAGAATCATCAAAGCTAGTATCTCTACTTATTTTGGGTGGCGATAGAAGAAGGGGGCCACAAACAAGAAGTTTGTCTAATCAATAATAATACTGATAAATAACAATAATATAGTCTAAAAGGTAAACAGTATGGCAAGTACTTTCCTTTCCAAAGAATCCCAGAACTAGGTTAAACAGTGAACAGATATGTAGAAAACATAAGTATCTCTGATTTCATTAAAATATGGCTACAGGAGAACCTGAGATGTCATCTGTTACTCAAAATCACTGTTACTCAGCCTGTAGTCTGAAAGCCGTGAGATGCATGCAAAGCTGAGATATACAGTATTCATCAGTGTCCAAGAAGCGTATTTTAAGGCGAGTGATATAGTGGTTCCCATACTTCATTAAAATACTTTAAACTAAACTCCAAAACGGTGGTTTTGTGAAATGGTCACACTGTTTACTTAACTGTTTTATTTATTTAACAATCCACCCCCATCAACATATAACTGGATGGAAACTAATCCATCAACCTTTAAAAAAAGGGTCTACTGATGAAGAAAATACTGTGAATCTTACCTAGTCTCTTCCTCTGCCTCAAGTGTGGATCAACCACCCTTAAACTGTCTGTGCTAAAAATAAGTCTAACCTGTTCTAAGTAAGTGCTTCTCCGAGCTCCAGCTAACGAACTCTAGTTTCTGAAGGATTTGTCTTTTGTGGCTGCTGTCTCACCAAGAGGGTGAGTCTCATCCAAGAGGGTCCTTACACAGAACACACTTGATAAATGCTGCCTTTTTGTCAGCAAGCTCCTGACAACGCTTCTGTCTTTTTAACCAGCTTTGCCAACACATCATGGTACTTTTATTTCTCTGACTTAAAAGAATCTCATCTCTGGTAACGTGAAAAGCTTTACTAATGTCAAAACGTATGTCACATCTTCCGCTTCCTCCCATCCACGTAATCCACAGGAGAAGCATGGGTTGATATGACATGATTTGTCCTGGTAAAAAAAGCTATGCAGGCTCTTATCTTCTGGGTGCTTACAAATAGTGCCAGTATTTTTCTGGAAAGTAAAGATTAGGCTGAGTGTGCTAATTCTCGTTCATCGCACCACGTATTTCGTAGATAGGCAGAGAAAGAAGTGACGTGCCTGCCTTCCAAAACCTTACACTTTCTCCACAAGATAATTACAAGTTTTCACAAATTGCACTAGATTTCCTTAAATAAGATTAAATCAAGGTGCAGTAAGACAGCTCCTGTCCAATTGTTTAAGCATCACCACCAACTGAAACAAGTACTGGTTCTGTCCATTTTGTGACATCATCAGCAAGGATATAGGGGCAAAAGACATTAGCAAAGCCCCAGAGAGTGATGAATGACAGCTCTCAGTGATGCCATCTAACATTTGGCAAAAAAAAAAAAGAGGCAATAATTGCTTGAAGTTACAACAGCATTTAAACACAAGTAGAATGGTTAAAAGAAAACAAATCCAAACCCAAAGCTCTGATGGCTTTTTAGAGAAAGGCAGACATATAAACAGCTATACTGAATATCTGCGTACAGAGTTTAAACACCTTCACAAAAGCCAAGGCAGATAATAGCTGGCAGGCTGCTCACCAGAACTCTTCTGGGGGTATTAAACATGATCTCTTTTAAATTCTTCTGAGAAAAAGCTCAGCCAGCTCCAAGGGCAGCTCATGTACAATCATGCTTTTGTTTAGGCAAGACTGCATGAGTAGAACAAGTATAAACTCTTTCTGCCCTCATTCAATGTGTTCCTCTGCAATTCTACAGTTATGAAGCAAGAGAAGTTTCCCTTTGCTGCAGTTTTCTATTGAATTAAAAGGCCACTAAAAAAAAAAATAAATCTAACACTCAGCTAATCAGCTATAGCTACAAGCCCTGATCCTACAAACACTGTGACATGCTTCACTTCAAGGATATGTAATTTCACTAATGCCACAGTCAGAAGAGCGTGCTGGAGGCTCTGTGCCACAGAGATGTTAACATTCACAACACTATCTTCTGCCAGTCTGAGTGCTATGGAAACATGGCGTTGGGCCAACGATTTCGCAAGAGCTCTTTAGGTCTGACTGGTTTGAAAAAAAATACCGCTCCCCTTCCACTGGGCAAATATCAAGCCTGACCTCTAGTCCAGGAGGTACCAAAAGGATTACTCAGTGTAGTGAGTGGCTAAGCTCTTTTGTCTGTAAAATACTGCAGAACAAAATAGGAGAGGGAAGTGTTGAATGTTACAATCAAGCTACCGATTTACCTGACCATATCCCATCACAGTAGAGCAAAGTCTGGAGAGTAGCACGCGTCAGGCAAGTCACAGCTGGTCTTCAGGTGTCCCGACGAATAACACCTTATTTTAATGGGATTATTCAGTGATGCAGAACTGCTTTAAGGTATGCATTCAATTTGCACGAGGGGGCTTGTTAGAAGAACAGTTTGCAGTCTTTTCTAGGAAGACTAGAGGACAACTAAACTTGAGTTTTAACTGTGTCTTCGTTACAGCGGAACAGGAATTGATAATTACCAGAGACCCTTCCAGGCATTGTTCCCCATTCTCCAACCACTGCAAAGTGACTTCAGTTCTGAACTCTAAGAATTCTGCTCTAAGAAACGCCGAAGTATTGCTAGTCAAAGGAAGAAGGCAGGCTTGGCCATGATATTAAGAGGGAAAATCACAACAATGTTCTCAACAGGGGAAAACCAACTTCAGAAAGGGCTCAGGCACAGGGAAGTGAGCAAAGATAGGCATTACTTATCTACTGTGTTATATGGTCAGTGAGTTCACATAGTTATCTGCAATTAAAATAACAGGAACTAATCTCTCTCTGATGACAGACAGAGCACGAGTTTGAAGCTCAGAACGACAGGAGGTACATTCATTATACATTACACCACCGCTAGTGGGAATCCAGATCTTAGGTAGCACATAAAGACTGAAGAGACTTGTACCATACGGTGTCACCCCGCAGAACATCCAGCTATTCCTTCCATTTCTTATGCATGCAAAACTTCACGGTCCTTAAGTAACAAGAGCTCTGCCTGACTGAATTTAATTCCTAGTGCTCCGGGGTGAAGGTAAGAAACAGATTGTATCAGAACCCCCAAAATCCTGTAACTCCAAAAATGTTTTTTGCCTTTTGTCTCTGGCTGAGATTGTTGGTTATGAGGGGTAAGATACCAGCACAATTCTCTAGGAACAAGAAATATGGGAGGATACTGGGAAAAATAACAAGGACTGGAAGCTGATATTGCCAGCCTTTTTTTCCTTTTGCAGCTTAACAGGAGTCCAAAAAGTCTGGAAAAATGACAGCCCGAAATGACAGTACGGCTCGTGACTGATTTACAAGAAGGAACAGCTGAAATGATGTACTTGGCCCACTGAGTAAGCCAAGCTGAGAACTTTAAGCTAATATAGTACAGAATTTTACTCAGTAAAATACCATAATCAGTTGACAACAGGAGGAAAATAAGAAGACAGGCAAGAATCAGATCAAATATTGACTTTGTTCAAGATGAAAAATCAAGCAAAGGCAAGAGCGCGGTGTATTTCACGTGGGAAGAAATGAAGAAATCAGACCTGAAATATTAAGCATAATTTGTGGAGAAAAATCAGAAGGAAAAGTATTTTGTATTTATCACCACAGCACTTATGACCTCAAGAACACTTAGCACAATGGGATGTAATGGAGATATTGTAAATTCATTTTGGAGGAGGAGTGCAGAATATTGGGAAATGCTGTCCCTGACACAAAGAAGTGATATTGGCTAAGGAAGCTGAAATATTCCATGCAATTATTCAAATTTTCCGTAATAAACACTGCAAGATGAGAGAAAACACAGGTGGTGCAATACATATACGGTGCCAGCAAAATGTGAAAATTAAAAGGATTTTATTGACTGGTATGTTCTTCCTGAAAACTCATTGAAATGTACAAACTGGACATTCAGTAACTGATTTGTACATTCTGTATGTTACACTGAATATTGTAGCCACTTTAAAGAAAGAATATTATTTTCACTTACAGGATGTTCACATCATCGCAGACACCAAAAGTGTTGATATATTCTAGTCTAAAAGTGAAACCAAAATAGAACTGGACATAATGGTACACCGCTTTATGCCAATCCTATTGACTCAACATGCGCCAGTTTCACACATCAATTCATAAGTACCTACTGTACAGTTAGTGAAACACCCAACCAAGCATATGTCTGAAGTCATGATTGCTTATTAAATTAAACCCCTTTTCCTAGACTTCCAAGTTATTTGTAGAGATAAATGTATTTAACTGCGCTGGATTCTCTGCAGAATGTTCAGGCAATCACGTCTTGTCAGTATCTCTTTGAAAAGCGTAGGTCATACCTCACAAAATTAATTTCAGGTGTAGATTATCTACACAAATGTGCGATTCGTTTCAACACGCTTCAGAGTCCTTGCAAAACAGAATGCCCTAGTCTCTGTCCATAAGCCATCACCTGACAAACAGTATTACCCTCAACTAATGACTGCCTATTTGTAAATGAGAGCTACTTACCGATTTCAGGCCTGCTAGAACAGCTAGGAGTATTTCAGAGCTGCCTGAGGGCTTCAACAGCTTCTAATTTCAGAACTCCCACGTTTGTTTTTAAAATCTGCAGTCATTCTAATGCTACACAAAGGCCGCAGCAACTGTAAGACTCCATTCTGTTGCTGTTACTGAACACTGGGTATTGTCTATGTAGCAGAAGATGCTAAATATTGTATGCCACACTTAACCTGAGGAGCTGTCTCACAGAGGAACTCATATATGTACTTGTTCTCAATTAACCAACCTTTTAATTACAGTCCTATATTTCCTGGTACAATCCTAAGAGCAAAAGGTCATTAGATTCTGAAGAAAAGAGGTCTCTTTTATAAGCTCAATACAGTACTTTTATATTTCAGACTATGATATACAATGTATACCATAAATTAATTTAAGACAAATACTTGTCACTTTATCTATGTAGGCACAAGTAAATCAGTGACTTTACTGAAGAGGAGAAATCTTCAACGGTATCATGATTCTGGACTCCATTTCCTGAATAAGGGGCACTGAAAAAAATTGAGACAGGGTTTAATTTCACTAACAGAGATCATTAGCCATTTTGCACACTCAGTTCGAACAGATATTATTGTCTTCAAATTACTCTCCTAGCTAGTGCATGCCAAGTCATCAGTAACCACCAACATTCCTGTAACTGAAGCATAGTAGTTCGAGAACAAGTGATTTTTTTAATATAATCTGTCTGCTCCTTTGAAGACAAATATTCCTATTCCTTTTCACCATGATGAAAATTATCTCACATTTTTCTGGTATACTTCCTTTGAAATGTACCCTACGGAACCAAAATCGGACATGCTTAGCATACTTCTGTGAGTTTTGTTATGAAAGCTATCTTTGATCTCAAAGATCTCTTGGCTTCTAGTTCCAAAGTCTAAACTCCCCTTTCAAAGGAATGCATTTATCAAGGCTGCTGCATTTCATGAAATATTAGAGGTAATAATTTAATATAAATTTCACTATTGGCTCCCTAATTTTTTTGGACACAAACGTAAGCATTTACACAATTCTGTTCCTCTACAGGAGAGGTGCTTGTATGAAAACTTACTATTAACATAGCAATTTTTTAGCAATTAGGCAACTTTTCTGAATTTGTACGATCAATTGCAAAATTCACTTTACAGCCTAGTGAAATGTCCCTCCTTTCCCTTATAGTAGGAAAACTGACACACAGACACACACGCACCAGAGATACAAAACTTTTTATCATTGTGCAGTGTACTGAAGAACAAAAAACGATGACATGCACAAAGGTCTACCTCCAGCATTCCAATGAAGTTAATAGGTTACCTGTGTAATAGACCAGTTCATCCCAGCCGGGTTTATTCCATGCAGCATTCCTTATATCTTCTCTGGTTTGGAGATCTTTGTAAGCTGGTGAGGGAAACGAACAAGCACAGAGCTTAGAAGCAACTCCTTTTCCTTCTACACGTGAATAGCTCCTTTAAAAGTATTCTAGTGCATAATTAGGAGGCTGCAAACACTGGGAAGGAAAAAAGTCAGAAGTTCTCCACAAAAAGGAAAAGCTCCCAAACCAACCCAAACAGAGGGAACTGGGGAAGAGAGAAAATGTCTTAGACACAGGTAAGACAGATAATGCAACAGAGTACAGTTCTACATGAGTGGTGTCAGATTTCTAATGCTGGAATATAATATTCTGAGTTGTCGAGATATGAAGATAATACTGCATATTTTCAAAAATAAATATTAGACAATGAGTTTCTTCAAGTTGAAACAATCCTAATACATGAAAAGCAGCTAAGCATTTGTGGAGACTAACACACAGAAAGCAAAACCACCATGATGTAGTAATGTAAATAAATGCTTGACTTTCCTTTTTGTAGGTGTGGTATATGTGATGCTTGAAACTAAACTGTAAAAATGTGACTTCAGCACGAATGGGGATGGAGAAAAGAGATGGCAGGACATGGCTTGTCATGCTTATGTTATTGAAAGCAAATAAGTAGTCCCTAATAAGAAAGGGCCATGAGAAACTGTTGGTGGCTACAGAACAAAACATGCAATGTTCACTTCTGCTTGCTTGTTCGAGAAATAAAGTTACCTACACAAAAATTAAAAAAAAATAATAAATCAACATTGTTGGTGTAAAACTAAAAAAGCCTCTTAAGACATTCCTTTGCCTTCTGTAAAAACCTTGTCTCCTGGGCAAAGTCAAGAGTCTGTTAAGGGCTGAGAAAAAAGCAGATAACACAAACAAATTTACCCCAGAGGTGATGAACCATATAAAGCTGTCCAATTTGTGAGAAAAATCCTCCAACTGCTTCATTATTATCTTGTCGGAAACGAATTGCACGAGCCCTACAGAAGAGCAAAGCAGCCATTAAAACCAGCCGATATGGGTAGGAAATAAGTGATAACTGAAAAGAAAGCAGTTGAAAGGAAGCCCAAAGGTCAAACAGCATTTGCAGTACACTTCAGTAATTAAAAACAAGAAAAAAATCCACAATACACTGATTTTAAGCACTAATTAATTAAAATATACCTATCTATCTTTTTAAAATTAGTTAAAATTGGAGATTTGCAGTTTCACTAGACTGTGCATTAATCATTCTCTGTCTTCAACATTAGATCCAGTACAACAATAATCACTGGAACAGTATAAAGCGGCAGGATTTTTATAGCAGGTTCTTCTAAAATGAAATCCTTGAGTTTCAGTCATACCGTCTTTGCCACACTCACTTACCACAGATTTTGTGGCAGTAGAATGCAGCCTTTTTATTCACAGGGACCTTTGCTAGCAGTTGTCCTATGCAATGCTTCAAGATTCGTTGTGTAAGTAAGATCAGTATCTCTCTTAACCATAAATCTGTTGCATCTTCTAAAACAGATTGGGTACCGCTACGACTATTTTATAAAAATTCTGAATTTAATTTCCTTTATTCAAATTATTGTAATTAAATAAATGACATTGGTGACAACGACACGTCTAACAATCCAAGTCCTCACCTCTGTCACAATAATTGCAAATACTCCAAATTATTAACTATCAACTGTTAGAGCTGCATGGACTTAGTGAATGTAAACTGAAAGAAACACACACTGGTTTTAAATAAGACAAAATTAGAAGGATATATCCAAGAGAAGACTGTCTCAGATGCTTTTAACCTATATATTGAAATACAAATGCGCTGCTCAATAGGTTTTCAAGAAGCAAGTTGACTTTTACAGATTAAAAGAGGCAAGACTTAGGCCATTTAAACTAAAAGTAAGTCAGCTTCTAGTGGTGTTGTGAAAGATCAACATAGTCTCAAAGAGCTCACCACCACCCTTCGCTGAGCAGTGCTTTCTGCTGAAAATAAATGGTTTCTGCTATATTACATTAAACCGAAAGTGTTATGTGAAGGAAAGCCAAACCACATAGCCCACAATGTTGTCTGCACACAGAATTCCTATTTCTTTCCTCAAAGAATAAATTAAGGGTCAAAGGACTATCTTACAAGTTGCATAAGTACAGAAGCAGGCCATTAAGCGGGTGACTGAAATGCTTTGGTACCATTCTGCCACTTCCACTTCATGATTTTTAAACATACATCTCTCAAATAGGAGAATGCAAGTGCTAAAGCAACACTTACCAGTAATTTCCCCACTCAATCATTGTTCCGGGCTACAAAACCAAAACAGACTGTTAAAACTGCAGTCTAAAGAAAATCAGAATACTTGGACAGTTTTGACAACATTTACATATGGAAAACACTATGTATCAACCAAATCACTTCCTTCAAGTGATAAATATATTATAATCATCTGTAATTACTCTGTTTACTAACTGTATTACTTCTTAAGTCATTTGCCTGAAGTTTCCTTCAAAGGAAAACACAGGGTTTTCAGACCTGCAGATATGAGTATCTTGTTGGAGCCTGCCTTCATTTTGGACCCCACACTTCGAGAGCAACAATGACTCAGACATCAGACTTGATAAGAACCAGATTTTTAAGATGAGGTCTGTTTTCCATCTACATTGTATAAACATGCTTTGAAAATTTAATGACAGCATAGAGCTTAAAAAATAAAAAGAAAAATTTAAACTTACTCTAAGTTGATAGGATCTCAGTTCATAAATATTAGGCCCCTCTCTGGGAACAGGTTCATTCCAGAAACTAAACTCCAACAACAGTTGGTTCTTGCGTGACAGAAGCATGTTACCTCTTTCTTTGCGAAAATCTGTGAATTCCTAAAAAACAATGGGATCACTGTCAAATTGTGTATTATGCTTCAAAACCAAAAAACAGTATGCAATATAGTGGCTTAATTTTTTTTTTTTTAATGCTATCTTTGGGGTTTGGGACATTGAAATCCTTTAAATTGTAAAGGCATCTAAATTCCCCTGGTGTATCTGAAAATTTCAAGTAGCATGTTTACACAGCACTAAGTGTCAGTGTTTCATAAAGTTTTCAGGTATTAAACCTTAGTATTACCGAATGTGAGAATAAACCCTCTTCCAATGAGGTTTCTAAGTTTGTAGAGGAAGTGATGAGATATTGAAGTAAAAGGGGGTATCCAAACATGCAGGGTTTTGCTCTGACTATTCTTTGTTCTCTTCCAAGTAACATAACCAATTCTAACAAAATCAATGCATTTTACCTTATTTTGACGGAGTTTACTCATGACCTCATTGAGAGCTGGATAGCCTCCTTCATATCTCCACAGATGAACTGAAACAGAAAAAAGGAAGCTTTTTCAGGGATGTCACACACCAATGCTAAATCTTACGGAATATCAAAGTATAAAACGTTCTTCATACTACAGAATTATACAAAAATAGAAATCAGGTAACAGGTTTAAAAATAGATTTTCATTAAAAAAAGCACTACACATTTGAACATTCTAAGAATAATGGAATCGTCTGCTTTTTGGAAAAGGTTCTCTTGGAAAATTTTGCAATCTACTCTGAAGATAACAGGGAAATTTCTGAAAGGACTTTTTGTTGCCATGCTAGTAAGATGTGATGACTTTACAGGACTGCAGTTGAAATTAACATTCAATTTAAGAGGATGACTTAATTAAAACAATGTGTTTTATACCAATTTCATCTAAGAGCAATAGAGGGGTAGACTTTTTAGTTCAGTAAATTACTCAAGCACAAAGAGCAACACAGTTTCTGTAGGACATGAAAACTGATGCAAAAGTTATTTTTGAGGTAAACATTACGATAAAAAAGCGGAAGATATCTGAACGTGCTAGAATTGTTACATTTGCTAGGATTTTCCCCATAAAAACAATTTCAGAACAGGTGTCTACACTTGAGTTTCTTCAAAGCATTCTCTCTTTAATAACTCATAAGAACATTTATTTACAAGCACTTAATATAGCAAGGCAACAATATTTCACCTCAAAGAATCACAAAAGCTATTTTCTCTCCTTTAAAGCAGTCCTGCACCTTTTCCAGGAGAGCGAACTGGAGACTAATGTAAGGCACTGCACTATGATAACAGACTCGTCCACTGCGCCTGCTTCTGCTGCCTTATCCCCAGGGCAAATTTGATATATCCACCTAATATTAACACAGCCTGGGCACAAGTACTGATCAAGTCAAAACCCCATAATCTGCTTTATTACACTGCTAGAACCGTTGCAATACCATTTTCAAGGCAGGCTATGGATGCAATTAGAGACACAGTCTGTATTAATACATTACAAAAGCCACGAATGAGACTTGGCTAAGATAGTCTCATTTGAATTGCCTTCATTCCCCAATTTCCCTTCAACTTTTAGAGCTGTTTCTCAGCCATTGTTTGGTTTATCTACTGTTATTTCTTCACATTTGTCCAGTGTCAATAGCGTGCTATGCTGTGAATGCAGGACAAATTAATGCGTACACGAGTATATTTTTCACTAACGAAGCAATGACATTGATAGCTCTAACCATGGAGCTACATAACAAATATCAGTACACCACTCTGTGGCTTCCCATTCCTTCACTTTCCTAGAATTTCCCAATTTTTTCAGGTTTTGTCTCTACGCTAGACTCTTCGTAGTTACCTCTGTAGCAGCTCTTCAGTAATTTCTAGTTCCAGTATATTTTCAATCTGCATAGTTAGGCAGTATCCTTACGTGAACATGAACAGAAACGTTTTCACTTTCCTCCAGTAAAGGTCTATCTTATTGTTGAGTTTACAATGTGATCATTTTTTCTGATAGCGTGCATGATTTGCATTTCATTATCATACAGCAATTATAGTATGAAAGTCTGAGTAAAGCTTTTATACTGGCCAATGCAATATAAACTCTGTCTTTGTAAGCCTTTGCCTTTACTCCCAATATTCAGGAACATGATCTGTGCCCACAAAATATGACAGGACCACATTTTACAAGCATTTCCCCAAACTGTTAATCTACCACCTGGAAAACGTGAAAGTGTATTAACAATAGCACAAATTTTAGGAATTAATGTTTTACTGTCAAACTCAACAAGACAAAAAGCAAGCACTGTAAATGTTAATATGACTACTGATAATAGATGCACACACACCCTCACTGTATACATTGCTAAAGGTTTACTGTCAACAGAGATGATTTAAAGAGAAGAAACCTGCCAAGCACACGTTTCACTTGTATGGTTTTACATTCTGTTGTACTTCTATCTCCTACCAGCCTGATCTTGCTCTCCGTACCACGTGTTCCAAGTCCCCACCAGTGCACATGGGTAGTGTTTTTCTTCATGAATCTTTGGCAGCACCTCTTGACTTGAAAACAAGGAATACAGACACTATGTTGCATTTCCTTCAGGGAGGCTACAGTTGATATGTATAACAAATCACCACGCGTTTATCATTATGGTATGAAAATTCACAAGCTCTACTTTTCAGAAGAGAAAGCTGAAATACAAAAGTCTGCTATACAGGGGGAAGACAGCTACAACGCTATGAAAAATTAAGGTAAGTGTTACCATTTCTTTAGACAAATCAACACTATGGTAGAATTATTTTGATGCAGTAAAGTACGTCTATCAACTACAAGGCTACCCAACACATTAGGAAAACAATTATCAGGATGACTTACAGAAAATGCAGCCTAACTACATGGGTGATTTGCTTCAGGAAAAGCTTTTCTTTATCAAGGGAGGTAGAATACACAAAAATAGGAAAGGACAGTCTAATGTACCAGTTACAATGCTATTAATTCCATTGAGCTGAATGAATAAAAACAAACATTTGCTAGATCAAATGATGACTGTACTTCATTGTATGCAGCCTTATTGCTTTCTACCATCTCAGAAACTGGTCTTAGTTTGATGCAACTTACCCATTAAAGCATACAGTGAACTGCTTTAAAACACAAAACTTCTGTTTGACTATTTCCAGTATTTCTAATATTTTGTCACACTTTAGAAATGACCTACATTAGCATTAGGAAATTAAGTTTTACCAATTGCTGACTCGGTTAAGACACCTTTCACTGCACTGTACTTTGATGAATAAGTCAATTAGTCTGGTTGAACTTTGCCTTTTAATATTTTTCCCTGCATAATTACCCCTCTTACTCAGTTTGGTTCACAGGCAATGAGTCTCTGCAGAGTATGAAATAATAGAAAGCAGGCTGGTCCTGGGCTGAGAGTCATTAGATAGGAGTTTTCCTCTTGATTCTGCCACTGACTTTCTAGACAACCTTGAGCAAATCTCATTACCAATTTGTACCTCAAGATTTCTCACTACATAGCATAAATAATATGATAAAATGACTCTCCAAGGATGTTTTCAAGGATGTTTCACCATCGGTTTGTTTTTGCGAAGTACAATGAGATCCTAGAATGGCAGCTTTAAACAGGAATGTTAAATTATTACAATAACCCTAACATATACTTTGTTGCAAATTATAGAAAAAACCACCCACAGAATACCTTATGAGCACCATCTTTTTTCTTTTCAAACATAACTGTTCCTAATTCTTCAGAAGGGGTCCTTAACCACAGTGATTCATGAAGTACTCTCACAATTGTCTTCATTACACTATTTCTTTACTAATACATGATGACTAACCCTTATTCTGATTTGACACAGAATAAGGATTTAACCTGTTCATCTTTAATTTAGGGAGAGGAAGGAGGGAAGTTCAGATAGGCTTAGTTTTCTCTATTAGTCCATTTTTAAGTTTTCTCCTTCCCTGGAAAACTTAAATTTGCTTTGGTTTGGAAAGAATAAATCTAACCACGCATATTTCATCTGATTGCTGTCAGCAGTTTCTTTCTTTGCTATTGTTTCTTTACTTGAAAATAAAAGCCTCTGCTTTCACTCAACATTTAGGTAGCTCATAAGATAACACAGAGAAGTGACTCCCTGTTTTATGTAATTGGACATGTTTATGTTAAGCTTTTAAACAGAAAGCTGGCTGAACGCTAACTGTGCTTCTCTGTGTATTTGTTTTTTTAAACAAAAAAAGTTAAAAATACCTTATGATTGAATGTAATTCTAGTGCACTTCTATGTTTGTATAGCAAGGAAAACAGTTTTTGGTCATCTAGTCCCATTTCAAAGCAGAACACATGAAGGTACAGAGATATTAGATGACCTACTCATGGCTGTACAGCCAACCAGTAACAAAGTTAAGGACATAAACTGGGAGTTCTGAACTCCTTCCCCACCCTCCAGCCCTGCTGGTGTTCTCACCAATACAGCACACGTAAAAAAATTGGTTGCAGTGGGGTATCATTATGCTAAGAATGTCTTATTTAGCTGACAAGATGATCACTTTCAGTGAGAAAGCACTGCTGCTTCCAAAGGTGCGAGGCTCACTACATTTCCAAATTTAAACATGCCGTTCTTGAAAAGGCAGCTGTTCTGGCTCCAGAGGAGTGATTATGTAGCCAGAACAGGACTAATATTTCTGGAGTTTCACTGTTAAAGTAGTAAATTCCAAATGTTACCAATTCATACATTTTACAAAGTTATAACCTTTTGGAAAACCCTTAACAGTACTGCTCTCTTTGGAGGATATCACCCCAATGCAAAGATCCTATCCCAAGATTTGCATTGCTCTTGAAGAGTAGATCTCAGTAACATTACTTTTGTAGAAGGATATAGATGAGCTGAGAGAAAGTCAACCCCTGGGTTTTTAAAACGTCCTCCAAGCTATACTTCAATTTAATATTGGCATGCAGTTTTACTTACCAGTGATCTCTCCCTTTCCTTCCTGTATGCAGAGAAGAACCACCCTCAACACGTTCCTACATAGCAGCTGGAGCGGGACATGCTAGCATACCACGATCTACCCGCATGCACCAGCAATTGTAAGACAACTAAGGGAAGGGGGAGAGCTGTTCCAACAAACGTCCCCAATGTTTTCACAAAAGGCATCTTCCTAAATTGCAGCTTAGGAAAATGACACCTCCAAGAGGGAAGACAGGGGGTGAACTGAGTAAAGTATCTTTTGCCATCTCTCTCCAAGAATAATATGAACTATTTAACACCATACCCTGCAAGTAAAAGGAGATTTTTTTCCACCTCCCCTCTAAATAATTGTATTTGCCAATTTTCAGAACAGCTTGCGATCAAATCAATATGTCTAAAATGTGAAAACATAATATGCACACTTACCAAAGCTTGTTGTAGGCGTCTAGACATTCTGGTTTTACATTGTGAACTGAAACAACAACATTACGTGAGAAATGCAGGAACAGAATAAAGAAATGGTAATGTTAAATATAAAAATATCACTCACTCTGTAGTTTATACAGACTGCTGGTCTCTCTTTTGGCTAGAAGGTTGGAGTGAGCATCTTTCCTTGGATCGACTTTGCGAACAAATAGCGATTTTAACCAACTGTCTTCACGAGGTCTGCTAGCTGAAGATACCAGCCCCCTACATATTAACAAGTACATTATACTGTCACTGAGCATGTCTTGAAAATGCCCACAACACAGGGAAGATAGGCACAATCAAGTTTAATGCAAGCAGTACTATAACGCACACTTACGTATACATCTGTTACTAAAACTTTCTACCGAGCCACTTTCTAGCAAGATAAAGGCAGTTCTTTCCCCACTGAGATTTACCCTCTCACACAGCTGAACAATTAACCACACACTATCCACTTTTATTCTTTGTGCACATGGCAGGGAACGGGTGAATGGCTGCTTTTGCTGCCTGTTTATCTTCTTTTTAATCAAGTGTCTTTGCTTAAGAAGGCTGGGTCTGTCCTGATTTACGCAGACAAGAATGAAAAAGAGCAAAAAGACAGTGTACATAAGGAAAAATTTGTACAGTGTAAATAGGAAAGTAACTGCCATATGTTCCTATGTTGCTTAAATATAGCTCTAAAAAAGGAAAAGTTAAATAGTGCATCTTTCAAGAGAAAAAATACAATGAAAGTCTAATTTGGGAAAAATTATGAGTGGCAGGAAACAAACAACCGGCAAATATTTCAATTCGAAATTCTGGCAACTGTACTATGTAGGGGTACAGATCCACATTTTTTGTACAACATTCACAATTTCCCTTTCTTTGAAACAGAATTTCACTGTCTTTTTTTATATAATCTTTATGAAGTTTCTGCAAGTACCATACCAAAATAATACCACTTTCCTTTACACCACAGACTACACAAAACGTTACAATTGATAACTGTGCTTTTGAAAAATGATGTGTTAAGGAATTATTCTTCTCTTTTCCAGATGACAGAAGATCCCTCAATCACCAAAAATTGTAGAAGGACAAGAAATACGATGTATTTAACTGATTCTCTACAATGTATGTCAGGGGACCCCAAGCTCATATGTATTTTCTTCTTTCTCATAAGAAGCACTTCCTTCAATTTGCTTCTTTTTGGTATGGGTTTTCTGCTGAAAAAAAAATATATTTCTCAGATATACTAAAAATGTGGCACTGCAGCTGGCAATTTAAACCTTTTCCTGCCGCAGATGTCAACTTTTCACCCTTAATTACTGACTAGGAGATCTAGAAGACAGCTATCAATCTTCAGCTATAAAGCTGCCTTCAAGATATCAAAAGTTTGTGACAATCGTTCAAGGAAAAAAAAAATAGGGAAAAAAAAATCTCAACTTCCTTTGGGAAAAATAACTTCATGAACGTGCCTGTCTGTATTACACAAAAGTAGTTCACACTAGCAGTGTTTTTCAAAAAGCAGCCTTTTAGTCCCAATATCTGAAAATAACATAATGAACTGGTTCACTCTGTGGAAGGAGGATGGAGAAAAGGAAAAGTATTTCATAGCAGAGAAACAATAACAACCAGAAGAACAATTGCAGCTGAGATGACCTTCAACGTTAAGAAGTAATCAGTAAATACCTTATCGGTGTGTTTATTGGAAATGGTGCCTTCTTTGGCCCTAGGCAAACACACAAACATGTTACTGTGCTGAAAGCTAAACAGCTATTACTGAGTACAAGCATTTAAAACAGCATTCCATGATAAGGCTGTTGCTAGAGTAGAGTGTGGGCAGCTGCCTGAAGTTGACCTATCTCTGATCTCAGCTGGAGGAGGTGAGGCACAAGTGACTGTAGCTGTGTTGTCACATATACATCAGGTGCCACAGGAACACAAGCTGTTCCAGATGACAGGGGGTGAACCCCACCTAGTAAATCCAAGTTATTTTAAAAAGCTCCCTTAAAGTAAGCACTAATGCAGCAAACGGGGCTCTAGGAGGCAGAACTCAATTCCATTCCTGTAGTACCCATTTTTGCAACTCAGATCTGTAAACCACTGCCATCTCCTCCACTGTATTAAACAGAGTTAGCAAACTAATATTTAGAACATGCTTCTATGAGGATTATTGTTTGCAGCAAACTTTGAAGATGAAAGAGACAAATAATTATAATGCTTTTTTTTTTTTGTGAACCAGCTTTATCAGCAGCAAGAATAAGCTGGAGTTATAGGGATAATACTAAAAAGCAAATTCCTTTCCTATTAGGAGAGTCTCATGACTTGAATGTTAAACTGCACCTAAAACTGGAGGTATATTTAATTTTCAATGCAATGAAATGAGTAATAGTTTACATTTATGTAAAACCTTTTACCCAGCAACTGTACAGTTCTTCATGAACGTGACTATCCATCTAAATATATGCATTACCTATAGTAAAGAATGGCGACAACTGAAGTTTATTAAAACAGATATTCAGTGCACCCAACCTGAGATGCTAGGACCTTATTTTTAATCCGTATCCTTACAGAAGTCCTACACTACTGGTGTCATTCTAGACACCTGCAAATCAAGAAGCCCTGGGCTGATTACTGTTTCACTCGTGTGGGCAATATGTGCCCAAGATTAGCTCCAGAAGAGTAGGGACTAAATTCATGTCTTTGGACTGCCAGTTGTGATCATCAACCACAAAGTAGTTAAAACTAATTCATCATCCAAAAGATCTACTTTTAACTAACTTCTTAACATTATGCCCCACAATACAATACCTGTTCCAAGTAAAACAGATATGGGATCCAAATTGTTCCAAAACCCAAATACCACGAATGAAAATGTGAATATACACATAGAACTAATGCATATGGAATTACCATCACACTTCACAACTTCTTATTTTCGGGGAACAATATTTATCAAAGAGAGTTTTCAAGCCATATTTTAAGGCACTGCTTGACTTTGCTAGCAAGTTCTTATCCTACAAATGTTGCCTATAGGCCTAGCTTTCTTGCTACAAAGATTGGGCTGTAAACACAGAAGGATAACACTGACCAGCTTGCTTATATTAGATTAAAAACCGTGGTGAAAACACTTCTATTCCACTTAGCTTCTGCTTTAGCACAAAATACTGGGAGGGAGATACCAGGTCAAATATTTAGATTTTGTAGTAACCCATGTCTGCCTGGAAGAAAGAATAACAACTCCTCTATAATTGACAGGTTTTGATCTGTGGTCTAAACAAAGTTTATTTGAAACTAAATAAAACCCCAAACATGCACATAAAATCTTACAACGTACACCCTCCACAACTCTCCCCATTCCCGTTTTAAACAGATGCCTGTAGTGAGGTCTTTAGTGCTGCTGCCCATTCTGAGTCTTGAGACAGCAGCTCTCCCTGTTTCAAAGAAAGGGCAGAAAAAAACGTGTGTAGACCCATCCCAGTTTGGCCACTTCTGTGTCTCCCAATACCCAGGGAGCATGTGTGTCCGATTCCTATACCCGAGACACAGAGAGCTGTATGTGCATCTTCTCAAACCAGGAGGTGTGTGCACGCGTCTGACCCATTGCACATCAGACACATGGGCATGTAAATGCCTGCACCCCAAAATTCGATGGGTGTGTCTGTCCGTGCGCCCTGACACCCGGGGGTCATACGCACACGCACACACATCCCAGCTCCTAAGGGAAGTATGAATACATGTGCCCCAACACCCAAGGGGTGCACACACATGCTGGGGTCCATGTGTAGCTGTGCATCGTGATGGCAGGAAGATGCCGGTGTGTGGAGCCATGCACCCTGACACTGGGGAAACAGGGATGTGGGGTAGGGCTGCAACCTGGCACCCTGCGTGTGGGGCAGCGGTGTGTCCTGCCACCAAGGGGTGTTGTTGCGTGTGCAGCCATGCACCCCAACACCACAGGACATGAGATGCAGGGTGGCCACGGACCCTGTTGCCTGGTGGAGTCGGGATGTGGAGTCGCTGCACACCCTGGTCCTGGAGGGATACCCGGGTGCAGAGCAGCACCAGGCAGAGGCGTGTGCAGCCCGTGCACCCTGCTGCCTGCCGGGGCGAGGGGCGGCAGGGGGG